CGTCACTAAAACCATTTTTATTCTATTTGACATTAACAACCAAATAGGGGCGTTTCCATTTTTTCCGATAATTCTATGATACACATCGAAGACTTAAAGTGCGATAAATAGTGAAATTACGTGGTCTCCTTGTTTTTCGTCTAGGGCCCGGTCTACACTGAACGTAGTAAAGTGATCACGTCACTTGAGCCATTTTTCTCTCTTTAGCTTTAATAACTGAAGGCAGTCATTTCAAACTTTATCTTACATGACGATTTGGAGTATGAAATATAAAAATATTCATCTAAGACCAGGTAATAGTAAAATGATCACACGTCACTAGAACCACTTTTTTCTATGTGACAATCACAACTGAATAGAGCTTATCTCTAATAATTTTACGATGTAGACCGAATATATGGAGTGTAATGTTTGATATATTCACAGCACTTAGTTCTATCTTTCATCGATGTCCCGGTCTACACTGAACATAGTAAAGTGATCAAACGTCACTTCAGCCATTTTATTCTATTTGACATTAACAAGTAAATAGGGGCGTTCCAATATTTTGTCAATACTTCTATGGTACAGACCGAAGACTTGAAGTGTGATAAATAGTGAAAGTTCGTGATCTTGTTTTTCGTCTAAGGCCCGGTCTACACTGAACATAGTAAAGTGATCACACGTCACTTGAGCCATTCTTTCTATTTGGCATGAACTACAGAATAGGGCAATTTCTTTTATTTTGTATGATAGTGAAAGTACGTGGTCTCTATTTTTCATCTATGGTCGGGCCAATACACTGGACAACAGTAACGTGATCACATGTCACTAACCTGTTTTTCTGCTTGGCTTTAACAACTGAACAAGGTCGTTACCTATTTTTTTCTTTTTCAGTATAAGGGCAACTATTATTTTATATTGTTACTGATGATGCAGCAAAAATCATATCAATCCGAACCTTTACATGCGAATATCGTAAAAATGTATTTAAAAATAGAAACATTGACGGCTGTCAAAATAAATGCCTCCCTAAATGTGCAGTTACGTACTCTTGGAAAAAATAAATTATTCACTTCCGGACATCTTGTATATTATAATTTCACTTATAAAGTGACCCTATACGTCATTTTTACTCAAAATCTACTTTATTCTTACATTGCACTAGTTTAATAGAATGAAATCAACAAAAATTAAAACACCTTTTCCTTAATACCTACTTAAGCCTGGTCTGCACAGATTTGAATGCACCTAAAGCTTGCTTTACACTACTCAACCTTGGCAAAACCTGCTATTTTTTTGTACTAATGCTACTAGCATTATAAATATATACTTGCAACAAAGAACGAACAGAGTATTGTCATTACTTCAGAGTGTATTAAAATGGACTTTAAAAAAGTAATTATTATTGAAATACATTTAACTCTATACTGTGTTAATATCAACTGGCACAGCCTTGCATCGAAAAGGAGACAATTCTCGCCCACCCATCGACCTTTAACGTTAGTAATGACGCAGAAATTTCATTAAGCGTGAATTAAAACGCCGCAACAAAGCTGAAAAGTTGAGTTCCCACTATCCTGAAACTATATTTAAAACCCCGAAAAGATGAGCTTATTCCGCGCGTCATTATTACTGCGGCGACTATCCATCGATCACGGGGCTTATTAATATCTGCGCCTGAATGGGATACGTGATAATACGGCGAATACAGAATGGAATCCGAGAAAATTTGAATGGTAAATGTCGAGTCAGGAGCGTGAAAGCGCGCGAAGCGTCATTGTGTGAAATCGCATGAAAGAACATCGAGGAACGATGGCTATTGACGGAGATCAAACGGGCCTCGATCTAATGCTGTATAAATAAATGACGGTCACATCGAGTGTGCATGCGTTGGAACGCGTGCCGGGTGCGTGAAACCGTTGCGGCGCGCTGTGGGACAAACACTAGTGTAAATTATGTATTTGTAATTTTTTTAATTGTTGATGTATATCTGTGAAAAATGGTGGTAATGTGAAGGAAAGTGTGCCCTTCATGCGTGCGTAGTAAAAACTTTTAATTATATTACAGGAGAAAAAAAAAATGTGTTGTAATGATTCATCTACAACCACAAAAACCCACAAGGAGCGGTTTTTCACGATTTAGGTGATGGTTTTGGCATTAGCCCAATAGAGCTGTATCGAAAATACCTAATTTTGCATCCGTAGAAAACCACAACCAGCCAACTGTTTCTCAGTTACCAACAACGAAAATATACCGTCCAACTTGTAGGAATTGACACTTTTAGAAAAGTATCTACAAATATTGAATCCTGAAACCAGAAAATTCGGTAAAAATATCGGTGATTTATTTTGCAAGGCAGCAGCTACTTTCTTAGCATATTGTGACGCAAACATCATTACTTTGGAGCATTTTGGAGGTTGGAAAAAAGACAAACTAACTAAAGGATATCTAGAAAATTCTCTTCAATAAAATCAAGATTGGAAAGAAAATTTTGAATGAAACATGCCTCTATTACTGCTTGTTTTACTGCTGACGCTACCTCTTCTACAGCTTGTTCTACAATTACAGTAGCAAATATTAGCAGAATTATGATTACAAAGAAAATGGACACTATTATGTTAGTTTTGGTAGTGGATATAAATAGTAATTGTTTAATGTTGTTTTCTTTATTTAAATTAGGTATAATAATTTCACAAGTGACTAAAATTGATTGAAATTTGATTTTAGTCTCTAAAAACCTAAAAACTAACTCGTACAATTCCTACAGGGTTCATAGTTAATAAGTAATAAAGAATTCCCTGACTTTTCCAGGTTTTCCCTGACTTATAAAAAAATCCAGGTCACTTGTAGTTCATTTTTACATACTAATTGGTGTTTATGTATTAATTTTTTTCTCAAATGGACTCCATAATCTTTTTTATACCCTAACAACCTTTTCTAAAGGTTTCAAAACTACAAATAGTTTTCTCTTTCAAGAACCCAGGGCCGGCTGTCACAAAATTTCCAGTTGCAAACATCAAATTCCCTGATTTTCATGAATATTTTTAAAATTCCCTGACTATTCCCTGTTTTTTATGAAGAATAACAAATTCCCTGACTTTTCCCGGTATTCCCGGTTTTCCCGGCCCCTACGAACCCTGTCCTACAAAACTGCAACTGTTGGACAAAATATATTTGAACTGTTCAGTTCAGAAAACTGTAATAAAATATAAAAATCATTACTAGAGATCCAAAAATTTCCGGAAAAATTGGATGTCAGAAAAAGAACAATTTTTTCCTAGAAAAATTTTATAAAACAAACATAAAATTTGGACTTCTGTTAAATTCTAGTAAAATATATTATATAGAAAATAGCGTTTAGTTTCTATTCCGCATTTAGAAGAAGCTAATAAAGATTATGAATACTCGTATGTTCAGAATGAGCAAGATAATGTTGCTCCAGTATCAAAAGCATTCGAAATGGAATCTGAAATGCCCGATTTTGGAACATGTGTTTTTTTTAGTTACCGGCAGTTTACTTTGTTTATCTTTGCTGTTTGAAATAAAATATTATGCTTACCTTTTCATGCTAAATGAAGTTTATTCAAGTAAAATATACATGGAAAAATATTTTTCATGCGCTTTTATTTTGAATTTCTTAAATTTTTCTATTTGTGCAATTTTTCTAAATATACAAAATTTATGTCTGATATCGAACTTTTTTTATGGGACTATCGATGTTATCAGTGTACTAGATATTGTGGATATAATTCAATACTGGTCGCCGCATTAGTCCGCAGAGTAGATGTGTTCAATATGCAATATCCTCAGTTTAAAAATCGCCATCTAGTATTTTCATAAATTTACCTTACCCTAATACCTTTTGACATTGCACAGACGTACGAGTAATGGTATTACGCGTCCGGGATACCAATACATGCATGCGTTCGTGCAGAAACGCGGCCACAACGACGGGCCCCCATTGAGACGTCCCGGGGCATTGTCAGCGTCTGCGGATCATTGTCGAACGTCTTAAAGGACACTCCGAGACATTCCGCTAGACTGGAGCTCAATAAGGCAATGATCGGCGAACACATGCCGGTCCATATTTATCATTTTCGCTGTTTACTCGCGTTGCGAAATTTCAATAGGCCCTCCGACGGCCGCCCGATTGTTTGTCCAAACATTTTGGGACTCGAGGCGTTCCTACGGATAACGTTACACAACAATTTTCGAGGATGTACATTAGGGACGGGTACAAGACGTCTTATGGGGCAACAGAAACTGTTTAAGAAGGAATTGTAGGTATTTGGAAAGAAATAGATATCTATTGTATTTCATTTGGCCTAAATGGAGTAATGTTTAAGTTAAAAGACTTAAATTTTAAAAAGATAGGGTGTAACAGTTTTATCTTCTTAATTTTGGAAGTAGGTAAAACGTGAAATAAATCAACTTTCTTATACAGGGTGTCCCATAAGTAATGGTACATAGATCACCAGTAGATGTTGCACAATAAAATATTACGATAATAATTTTGCTGTTACTTATTAGAGATCCACTTGCGGCACCTGGCATGTCTTTAAAATGTCATAACTTTTTTGCTTCTTGGTATATCACCTGTTTTATATAATATTTATTTTTCCGTAATGAAAACTAAAGTAGATGTGACGATTGCCTAAAATTGAAATTCTAGTTTTTCTGTTTATTACAAAAAGACGGTACAAAAAAGTGAACAACAAGGGGCATTTTCGACCACAACTATTGATCTCTTTTTATGTAGTATGTAAGTTAGGGACGATTCCAGAAGTTCTCGATAAGTTTTAATAATTTCGATTATTAATCTTATGCATCGTTTTGCAGTTTCAACGATTTTGATTATTAAAAAATTATCTTCAAAGTTTGTAAGCACTCTTGTCAGTAGTATCTATTTACGTGTTAGAATACGCATTCAAGTGTTGAATATATGTTATCATTATCAAGGGTCATTTTTTCGCGTACCTTTCGTAATACTATATTTTATCTTTTCTTTTTTGTTCTAGATATCATCCCGGGGCAAACCATGAAAGTAGAAGAAGAGACCCCGCTGAAAAACCACCAGAACACCTTCGGCTACCCCGCCTTTCCCAACCCCGCAATGTTCACCCCCTCGCAGCTTATCATGGCCAGTCAACTTATGGCAGCCTCAGGTTTGACGATCTCCAACCCTGCGTTCTTCCATCCCGGTCTTCTCCCTATGGCATGGCCCGCAAACTCACCCCCTTCGCCCCCCGCCAGCACCGAACCCTTGTCTCCAGCTCTGAAGTCCAGAAAGGTGAACAATAACAACAACAACGTTGTCAGTAGCAGCACCACGGCTGATCCTAGAAAAAGGAAATGGAAGGTGGAGGAAGAAGCCACGGTTCCCCTGCCGTCTCCGACGTCTAGTGTGTCGCCACCTTCTGGGCCTGAAGTCAAGGATTCCAGTAGGGATAAACAGTTTACGTGTGGGGTGTGCAACAGATCCTTTGGATACAAACACGTCTTGCAGAACCACGAAAGGACTCATACTGGAGAAAAACCTTTCGAATGCCCAGAATGTCACAAAAGGTTTACAAGGGATCACCATTTGAAAACACACATGAGGCTACACACTGGGGAACGTCCCTACCATTGCGAACACTGCGACAGGCAGTTCGTGCAAGTTGCGAACCTCAGGAGACACCTCAGGGTCCACACCGGAGAAAAACCTTACACTTGCGAACATTGTTCAGCGAAATTCTCAGACTCCAACCAACTCAAAGCTCACGTTCTGATCCACACCAACGAAAAACCGTTCTCGTGCGAGAAATGCCAAAGTAGATTTAGAAGGCGGCACCACTTGCTCCACCACAAGTGCGGGGTTCCCGACAAAGAGATGACACCTGAATCCGACGAACCTGAAGACGATCTCAGACGAAGAAGAGTCCTCCATCCGCCGTCCACTCCTCTGATAACGCTCCCCCTACAAGTCGCCCTGCCGGAACAGACGGAACCGGAAGACCTGAGCATGACTACGGGCCTGACCTCCAACAGCAGCACCGGAGGTTCTCCCGCCAGGAGTCCCAGTTCCAGGGAGGACGTCGAAGACGACGACCTGGATCCCCAGGAGTCCGCCGCGATATTCCTACAGAGAAGGGCAGTGGGCCACTCCTAGTCCTTTTACCTCGTCCTCGGAGCATACGGGTACGTCTCCACCAGAGTCAAATTATTCCAACGCCGCAGGGATAGTTAGTATTATTTTTTATTTGTATCATAAAGTTTATTGGTATGCAAGTTCCTCACACAATAGCTAGTTAGATCGTTGTTAAGCGTGCATGGGTTTAGTTTCGATCAAAAACAGGACAGTGGGCAAATTGTGGAACGTCACGAAAATTAAATCAGAAGTGGGATCACACGTTTCTTAAGTAGTGTAAACGTGTGACGTCAAGCATTCTGATTACCTTTAATTAATTTGTTCCAGGACAAGATGGCGTTGTTAACGTTTAAACAAATTAGATATCCAAAGACACGGCTAAGTACCTAAAGGCATAACTCCTGTACATAGTCCCTAGGTTAGCAGACGGAGATATTTATTTTTATATTATATTTATTTTAGGGGATTTTTAGATTTATTTTATTAGTTTTTATTCGCCTACTTCTGGGAAGGTCGAAGGAATTGCACAAAACGCAAATTCTCGGGTAACGATTGCGATGTACCTGAGGCTGTTACGGTCCAAATTAAATTTGCATATCCTTAAATTTACGGCACTATCGCCAAGGATGGGTGCCTTTGTATTGCTGCTCCAGATAGGTCTAATTTCCATTGTGGTGCATTTTAAACCCCCGCACAAATGGCAGCCCAACCTTGCGGTTGATGAGCGTTCAAATTGCTGGTCGTTTTTCTCGTTTTAAATTGGGACTGTTGTCGATTTTGTCTACAATATTATGCCCCTAAACGTACCTACAAATTTAAAACTAGGAAAACTGTAACGTAACCTTTTCAGATATAAAAAGCAGTCTTGTCTTTTCGACAAGCATCTTCAAACCAATAAGGAAAATGGTGAAGTTGTGCGATATTCGATTTGTTTAATGATTTTTACTTTTAGAATGTTCATTTTATCTAAAATTGGATTAAATTAGTTTGAAAGAATATTTTAAAATTGCTCGGTCATGAAATAATTGGGAAAGCAGTTTGGACTTGCCATTAAGGAAAAGTAATGGCAACTCTGTTACATTCGAGAAAAGAATTAATCTATCAAATACCTCTGACACTTGGCCAGAGCAGTTCTTACCAAGCTATTAGACAAATGTCGATGGCCTGTCGACGTGGTGGACTTGAAGAGGCCCCCTCAAGAGTGACAAGGGTACTAATCCCTTAAATATCGTTTTTAAACGCCAGAATCTGGAATTATAGAAAAACCACGTAATCATCGTCAGCGTTTCGCAAGCTAGGACGCGTTGACTGGCTTCTAAATTAAGTTCTTTTGTTGACGGAAGTTTTTTGTCGGAAACCAATGCGGCCCTAGTCGGGGGCAAACGGGTTTTTATTGGGAATTTTGTCGGAATTCGATATGCAACTGGTTCATTGACACGGTGGTCTCTAAAAATGTAGGACTCTAGTTTCAAACTAAATCTGATGTCATCTAACAATCCGTCATTGTTTCGAAATTACAAAAAACAAAACATATAGGTACGTAGAATTAAAAAAAAGTTTATCAAAAAACGACGTCTATAAAAAAATTAACAAATAAACCGCTTTAGATTAAGTTCGCTTCATTAAAAAACTACGGACCTTAAAACAATTTTGTTTATTTTTAACGAAATTTGGTATGAAAAGGTATTTGGAGTCACTGAAGATTTCTTACGTAAAACGCATAAATTTTCTGTTCTTTTCCCATATTTTTTTATGTTAGTACAAAGTAGAAATACAAAATCGGTTTCATGAAACAACTACGTTTTCTCAAATCCTCTACCAATTAAAACAATAAGGCGAGAAACAAAAGACTGTTTCAAGTATTATTAGCAACGTCTGTATTTTGAGAAGGTGAGAAATAAGTAATAAATGAGCTATATTTGAGCAGATCCCTCAAAAACCTATACCAAATTTGATGGAAATACTTTTAAAACATGTTTTTTGAACGTATAATTTTTGTAGAAAGCAAAATTGTAATAAGGTATACAGAGACAGCGCTGCTAAAAATTCACACAATTGTCTCTGAAATGATAACGGGCACAAATTGTATCAAACTTTCAGTTTAAACGTCGAATTTTCACACAATTCGTGCCTGTTCCCATTTTAGGAACAATTGTATGAATTTTCATGACAATTTTTTTCCCTGTAACTTGATATAAACCGGTTTATTTTCATTCAACGAAGCTGGCTCATTCGCTTCCAAACCCCCTGTATAAATTATAGTAAATTTCCAAATTTTATTTGAAACTTAATTTATAGCTCAATCTTTAACCACTTAATATTTATTAGACAGTTTTTGTTATATTGCTCTGATTTTAACTATATCTGTAAGGCGTTACAAAAAAGTGAGACAAACCGTTTACCACAGATTTTTTGGGGGAAATAATAACACTTTCTTTATTCAAAATTAATATTTAAATATGTATGTACCTAGGTCTGGGGCTGCCAATTTGTGGTAGGCAAAAAGTAAACCAAAAAACATTGACAATAAGAAAAGAATAATGTATTGGGTGTTATTTTTTGACTGCCATTGCTAAATAATTAGACCCAGTACATTATCCTTTTCTTGTTGTCAACGCACTTTTTGTTCACTTTTTGTCAAACCACAAATTGGCACCTCCAGACTTAGGTAAACATTTCAATGTTTGTTTTGAAACAAATATTAAAAATTCTAAATTCAAAATGTCAACCATTTTCACGAATGAACACTTACTTGGGTTAATATTAATTAAAGAGGACCAAATATGCTGGGAAATGAAGCATTTCATTCGTTTTCACAGTTGTTGTCAAATTGAAACTACGTATTCTGTGCTAAAGACAAACAAATAATAAAAAAAATAATCTTAACAGTAAATCTAATAAATTAAAACTTATCGTAGTATAGTTTTATAAAGACTAGTTTGTGGTTTAAGAGGAATTGAGAAATTAAATAACAGCAAATGAGTCAACGAGTCGCAAATTAAGTTTAGATCAAAATTTGCAAGTGTTAAATAATGCAAGAAAGAAAAGCTTGCTTCAAGAGAATATAATTGAACCATAGTCCTATACAAACAAGTAAAAAAGAATACAAACCACATTTCTTTCGCTCATGCTTCGATAATAGGTATTTTTATTAATATTGAACAAATATTCAGACATTGGATAAAAGACAAAAAAAATTGAAAAAGAAATTCCTCATTCAAGAAATTCTCACTATTTTAGTTTGTCATTAACGGTTTGACTTACTGTTTTTTAACACCTTGTATAATTAACAGGTGAAAACATGATTATTAGTCCAACCAAATTACACTTGGAGAAAAAAAAAATGTTACCTGGACTTTTATAAGTGGAAATGGTAAATGTGTGAGCAGGGGCGGCGGAGGGTTGATTTGGGGGGTTGAAAAGTTATGAAAAATTGTATCATTGCGATTGCTGGCGAAAGTTGACGTCAAACAAAAAATATCACTCTGTAACATAAACTCAAAATTTCCGAGAAAATTGCGAAAAACAGTTTCTTTTCTAATTTTTCGTTTTTTATTTCTCATTTCCGCAAAGATAATTTAATTTTAACGAAACTTGGTGAAAGTATACCTTTCTGTGTCTTAAATAGCCTCAAATTTTTTAGATAAAAATATCAAGAAGTTTCGGAGATATTCATTTTTTTCGGCCTGAAACACTTTTTTTAAAAGAAAAATACGGCTCTGAACGCTTTCAAAATACCTGTCTCTATTGGAGGAGAGAGAGAGAGAGGAGAGAATAAAATTCAATACAGCACAAAATATCCAACAATTTTTTTGAATCCATAATTTAAAAAGTTGTACATAATAAAAAAATAATACGAATTTATGAAATATTTTTTTTATTTCTAATTAGTATTGCTAATAGTAGTAAAAAAAATTGTTGGATATTTTGTGTGGTATTGACTTTTATACTGTTATGACTTCATCCAATAGATATTTTGAGAGCNATAATTTAAAAAGTTGTACCTAATAAAAAAATAATACTAATAGTAGTAAAAAAAAATTGTTGGATATTTTGTGTGGTATTGACTTTTATAGTGTTATGACTTCATCCAATAGATATTTTGAAAGCGTTCAGAGCCGTACTCAGGAAAAATTTTAAATTACATATAGCTAAAAGAAGCTAAAAACTTTTTAAGCGATTACAATAATAATATCCTCTAATTCAGAATTAAAAATGACTTTAGATTTTGTCATAAAAATAGCAGCGATGTATTTCGGGTTTTTCCGGATATCTCCGGAACTACCCGGAATTTTAAAACTTTCTAATATTGTTAGGTACCTATAAAAAAACAAAACTTTTTTCTAATCTGAGCCACCCCGTATCTCTTACCGTTTCCTAGATCCTAATGCTATCCCATCCTTATCTTGGACACACTATATATCTATGAATGCATCAAATTAAAAAAAAAATAAGTACACTAATCTATCCTACGGAAAAAAATATTATTTATTTTATTCATTCACTATTCGACTTATGTTTATAGCAATACTGTACAAACATAGTTTTGGGTCAAACATAGAGACAGTTTTTTTGTATTTTTTCCGTACAATTGAATGGTGTAATCAGTTTTTGATTTTTTTTTTTTAAATTTAAACAAATTATCAACAATTACTGATTCATTGCTGCAAGCCATTCTTTATTTTTTTGCATTTTTGAGCATGTTTTTGAACTGTGAAATGAATATCTCGGAAACTTCTTAATTTTTTTATCTACAAAAATTTGTGATTATTTAAGACACAGAAAGGTATACTTCCACCTAGTGTTGACAAAATTAAATAATTTTTGAGGAAATGAGAAATAAAAACGAAAAATCAGAAAAAACCTGTTTCTCGGAAATTTTGAGGTTATGTTAAAAAAAGACCTCTACAAAAGTTGTAGATTTTTGCATGATCTACAACTTTTGTATTGGATACTTTTTTGTTTGATGTCAAGTTTCGCCAGAAATCCCAATGATACAATTTTCAACCTCCCAAATCAACCCTCTGCCGCCCTTGCTCACGCATTTATTTTTTTTCGTTTATTATAAGCCTCTTTACCATTTCCACTTATCCAGGTAACAGTTTTCTTCTTTTTCCCCCTCTAAATGAGTTATTTTGATCGGTCTATATACTGTGTGAACAGACAAATTAAAAATCATTCGTAAAGCCATTTCAATATACGTTTGAAATCTCCAGCAAGCAACTGAATAGCAAAAGTCCAGTAATACATGTCGAGTTTGCGGTCAATTTTTTTTTAGCCTCTACAGGCGCGCGTTCCCCACAGGTCAAGTAAACCTATCCGAGAATTTGCGTTTGACATCTGAACCCTTTTCACAGAACGGTAACCCGTTTGAAACCAGTTAACTTTTTTTTCTGTCGGGTTATCCGTTCCTATAATTGACGTTATTGTTGCCGATAACGTTCCACAATTTGGCCCCGGCTTCACGAGCATTTTTTCCAGACGAGTTTTCCTTTGTACATAGTCTATACATATCGATTTTTATGAATGTATAAGTGTGGTTGGCTGTTTTCCTTTATACCTATAGGATATAACTGTAAAAGGTGGCTGTTTTTTTGTAATAATTGTTATGTAATTTTATTTGTTGATCTGGTAGGTTAAGGTCTGTACATGGTCCAAACTTTGACGCAATATTAAGTATTTTCTCACACAATATTAGTAAGAACAGCGATCGATCGGATATTTTTCTATGTGCCATTTGTTTTTATCGATAGGGTTTTATTATATTAATGAATTATACAGGGTTACCAAAACGACAAATATATGATTTAGATTATATTATTTTTTAGTTTTTTTTTTAATTTTATCTCCATAGTTGACTTTTTGTATACCGAAGCCGAGGCTGCCACGAGGCGGGGTATTTTTCTCTGTTTGTAAATATTTTATAGTGTCGCTTTTTGTGGCGCGTCTCGGTTTTTTGTTATATTATGGACCTGGATAGATGGCGTTGTTGACACAACAACAACGTCCTCTGAGGGTTTTTTGCAAAATCTACCTCCAAGTACCTACTCTCCATGCAAAACTCAAAAAGACTGATTTTTATTAGATACTATATTATAGATTGTATCAGAGATTTTACAAGGATTCAATGTACATAAGTTTCCGGATCAGTATATATTTGAACTCTCAATTTTATTAGATGTATATTGAATAAAGAAAGCACTACCTCAAGTCAAGTACAAAAACGAAATTTATAGATTTACCCGCAAGGTTTCTAATCGCTTCCAAGGACGGAGAGAGGTTTCATTCTCGTTTCGTCCTACGGTAAATTGGATCAGAGGTTATTCGATATGTGAACTATTTGTTGTGTATCTCTTTACTAAGTATGATATTATTATATGGATATGGTGTACGAATCCCCAGAAACCCTTGAAACCAATTTGTGATCTCTATCTTGATCTGTGTAAATTATTGCGATTACATTCTCAATGTAATTTCATGTCAATACCTATTTTACTATTAAAAAATGTTCGTTATAAAAATTACAGATGTGTTTTATTTCACCTGCCTACCCTAAAACCAAGATTACTATACAAAAAATAGACAGAATATTAGAATTTTATGCAGTGCCAGGATTATCATCCTTTCCTTGAGAAAATGAACTAACTGTGGAATCCATTACCAAGTTATTAACAAAAAATGTGAAGAATGAAGAGATAAGAGTTGATCTTAAAGTCCATAGCTATATTAAATTTTGACTAGAGAATTCCCTAACATTTCTTTCTCTAATTAACTTTATTTCAAGATTTTAGTGATTGTTAGTGACTGTAGTTAGTAATGACTAATTACAGTCATTAAAATTTTGATATAAAATTAATTAGAGTTTAAAATATTACTGAGAATGTATGCGTTGTTTATGAGACATCTATCAATAAGTTTTGACATAAGCTAACTTTGAGAAAAGTTACTTATTTTCTTCACCGTAATATTGTAAGAATTCAATTAAGCCTTTTTTCTCGAAAACCGTCCACATTAGGAAGTTCTAACAAGAGTACATTATTTTTAGAAAATAAAATTGTACATTAGAAATTGGAGCCCGAAAAACCTAACCTCAAAAAAATTTCAACCTAAAATGTAAAAAATTCTTATTTTTTGTCGTATTATCACTCCCTGAATTTAAGGGAGGCCGTTCTGAAATACCCTGTATATTAAATAACAGCAATCTAGATATATAATGAGATTTTTGGTTTAGGAGAAACTGATAATTTTAATCCGTTAAAATAAAAAAAGATACATTTTTGGAAAAATTTGTGTTTTTTTTTCTAAAACGTAATAACGTTAATAAATAGTAATACACAAAAAATTGTACCCTAATTAAAAACTATGGAAGGAGGTTAAGTTAAAAATAAGACCACAACCATAAAAGAAAATGAAAAATAATTAAAAAACATTTTTCCATTTATTTTTCAATATTAATTATTTCGACAAGGAAATTTAAATTTAGTCAAAACAAAAAAAAGCTATTAAAATCTGGCCAATAAATCATTAGTATTATTTACAATTTTGGTGAATTAAAGAGCGCCATTTTCTTCTAGATCTAAAAAGAAATGGTGGGTAGGTATATTTAGGTTGCGCTTATTTAGTATTCGGACAAACACTATTCAACATTCAACTGCCAAAAGAAATTCTTCCTCTTTTCTTTCAATTTAGCTGTTAATTTCGTTTCGTAGTCCAGTTAAAAGACTTGAACCATTCTGATGTCATTTTTTTATACTTTTCACTGGAGTAGTTAGTTTTGTTAAATAAACCCACTCGATATGTAAAGGTTCAAGAATTTTTTCATCAGAGTTACAGGTGACTTTAAAAAGAGAGATTTGCAATTTTATGTGATATACCTAATTCAAATTAACATGAGTATAATATTCTTGGGGGTATATTGATGTCTTAATATCTGTATTTGTGAATTTAAAAAAAATCCATGAAACTTTGATACTTCCTTGACATTTTCAAACCTCTGAAACTATCTGATATTTTCAGGTTTTCCAGATTATTATACACCCCGAGTAAGTGCAAGATTAATATACAGAGTATAATTAATATACTTATAATCTTTAATGGCGGATTCTACGTCATAGATCAATTTAAAAAAATATAGTATAGATATATGTCTAGAAACGTTTCGTTCCCGAGATAAAGAATGTTCAGAATTTATACAAAGGTATAATTTACTTAATGTTGCAAACAATTGAAGAAAACGACCTTATTTCTCGAAAATGGTACCTAGAAACATGCGAAAAAACACATCTATGTACAACTTGTAGTGTTCTATCATAATAGTACAGTAATTTCAAATATTAAAAAAAAAATCGAGAAAAAATTAGAAGGCGACTCTCAAAAATACGACTATTGCATGTACATATGTTTTAGGCAATGAAGAAATAACGCTGTAGGTATACCAAATTTAAATGAAATTGCTTCATCCGTTTTCTTTCTGACAC